CTCGCTGCTGCTGAGCTCCCAGAGAACAAACACTGTGTCCCACACTGCTCAATGTTGCAGACTTCCAGGGATTGTCTGCTAATGGTCTCATGAATGTTAATGACCTGTGCAGAGAGATTTCATATTTCTTATCATGTATACTTTTAATTTTATCTTCATCAGCACCTTGTGGAGAGCTGGGTATTCACCAGGAGCTCTGTAAATAAATGTGGATTTAACCTGATGACCCCTTTCTTAGTGTTTCCTTATTTGTGACACAGAACAGTGATTAACTATCTGCCTGGGTACTATCTGTACCACAGGATTTAGAATAGACGTCATGTCTTTCCACAGGAATGCTTGGGCCCATTCTTCCTTTGTTTTGCATATAATACACAATGTTTTCCTTTTCAGGCATGTCCATGCCAAATTTTTTTTTTTTTTTTTTTTTGTCATTAGAATTGGTTGCAAAACACATTCTCTACATCTGTTGTGTTATGTGAAACTAGTTTCGGGTTATGAATCCACTTAAATCCATGGGATTTTGGCATACGTTTTCCTTCTGACATGGCTGAGGGGGCAGTCGGGAAAGGTGGTGAGTTAGATGCTGAGAAGGTTCTTGAGTTGGAGATTAGGTCAGTCACTCCACAAAGATGACTTACTGCTTAACCAAAGGCATCCCCATAGCTGAAAACCCCTAGTATCAACCAAGCCTGGTTTCCCCAGACTGCTATTCAATTCAGTTAAATTCATTCACTAACTCATTTAGTCATTCATTAAAATATATATGCATACTACGTGCCAAGTCCAGTTGTGGGCACCGGGGATTCAGTGTGAATAACTTGATAATGAGCTATTGAGGAGTCACAGGAGATGTGGGGACAAAGGAGGCACTACGGTTCCAGCATTCATAGGTCATCTCTCATGGGTGTGTCTGTGCAGAGAAGAGTGGCAGTGGAGGGGAGAGATTGAGACAAGTGCATGCATTACTCTGGTGGGGTTGTTGGGGTTGGTCACCATCAATATTGCGTATTTCCTGTGTCACTAAAGCTAGAGGACTGGACCAGATCACTTTCTTTGCCCTTTATTCTTTATTTCCAGTCTTTCTTTTATTCTTTAAAAGAATATTACATATAGGGGTATCTGGGTGGCTCAGTGGGTTAAGCCTCTGCCCTCGGCTCAGGTCATGGTCTCATGGTCCTGGGATCAAGTCCTGCATTGGAGACTCTGCTCAGCGGGGAGCCTGCTTCTCCCTCTCCCTCTGCCTGCCTCTCTGCCTACTTGTGATCTCTGTCTGTCAAATAAATAAATAAAATCTTAAGAAACAGAATATTACATATAATATATAATGATAATACCAGAAGTATAATAACATGAAATATGAGTTGAAATATTTTAATTATTATATTCTTTATTTTCTATTATTCTATGATATTTAAACAATTAATTTGTATATATATATATATTTTAAAAGATTTACTTATTTATTTGACACAGAGAGAGAGATCTCAAGCAGGTAGAGAAGCAGGCTGAGATAGAGGGTGAAGCAGGTTCCCTGCCGAGCAGAGAGCCCGAGGTGGGACTCGATCCCAGGACCGTGAGATCATGACCTGAGCCGAAGGCAGAGGCTTAACCCAATGAACCACCCAGGAGCCCCTTCTATATTTTTTTTATTGATTGTTTTCCTCCAATAGAATGCAATCTTTGTAATAGTAGGGACCATTTCTATCTGATTCACTGGTAGATCCCTAGGGCCTGGGATAGACTCTAGCATGTAATAAACATTTAATAATTGCGATGAATTCTCTCCTAAATATTATCATTTTTACTGAGACTTTTGGACTGGAAAACAGAATAATGTTTTTGGAGCTGGAAGCGTTAGCACCGAAATGCTATTTGCAGCAGATCAGCAGTCTGAGAACGAAGCAGATTATGTTGCCTCCTGTATTATGTTTATTGTTCTGCAGGAAGAAGACTGACTGAGAAGAGGTCAGGGGGATAACATGAAATGTTACTGAATAACATGGAACACTGGACAGGACAAGTGTTATCTGAGGATGCAAGGGACACACACTTAGATAGGAGTTCGCCATTATCTTGTTGGAAAATTTTCAAGAAGTTATTATTTTCTTATTTGAAAGCTCTGGGTCTTAACTTGATAGTTTAGTGCCTCCCTTTAATTTTTATACGTTTGGGAAAGGAGGATTAATATTTTCCAGTTACACCTTCCCCTAGAGGCTCCCGTTTGTCTATACACAGAGAACTTTCCATCTGTTGATTTTGCTGCTGCTCTTTGAGCGGATCCTCGAGCTAGGCCACCGCCCGGGGGGAAGCGCACACTGGCCAGCTGCAGCGTCTGGGGTGAGTCTTGCTTTAGTAATACTAGTGTCCGACAGAAGCTCTTCACTGGTCTCCTCACCAAGCCTTTTGAGAAGTCCTGCTGCACTGGGCCCTCCACAGCCATGAGAAAGCGCAGATTTCCAGCTACGGGCGGCGTCACCGTCCAAGGACCCAAGCTGCTCACTGCACACTGCCTTTAAACTGAGGCCATGCGTGCTTGTTTGCGCTGGTCGCAGCTGGTCACTGAGGGCGGCAGGGACACTGAACACGTCTATTCCTTTTAGACACAGAACTCATCTGATGCCCAACTTCGGGTCTGCAATTCTCCCAGGGCCTGGCCTCGACACACCTTTCTTAGACTGCTCAGCGGCCAAGGACTCTTTAGCCAGCTGTCCTCCCCCTGCTTTGTGCAGACCCACCTCCCTACCTGACAGCTGTTCCTGTCTCTCTGCTGTCTCCCTGTTACCTTTCACAGGTAGGCTTTCTCCTAATAAAATCCTGGCTTGGTTAGTCCTGTCTTGGCTTCTCCTTCTGGAAGAACCCTGGACTAACACACCCATTTTCTATGACTGGACTTTTACCCTCTTTCGCTTTGAAATCAGAGCTGAACTTCTGTTCTGATCCTTAGGCCACTCGATTGGGGCTCTGATATTGTCTGGTTCTTGGCAATGTTCTCTCCTCTTCAACCAGATGCGGAATCTCTCCGACATGCCATTTGCTTCTGGTGGGCCTCTAAATGGATGGGCCATCTGGAGTCACCGTGTTCTTCCAGAAATGTCTGCAAGAATTCGACTATTGCTACTACCTAGAGACTCACCACCTTGTCATTGTTATTGCTAAGACCAAAAAATCAACTTGTGCTTTTCATGGATATCAACGAGGAGCTGATCTAAGTTGCAAACTGGAATTTTGTTTTAATCACTGGCCACCTTTCTGTGATGTTAATCCTGGGACCAGCTGGTTGGGTACTTAAGCCTGTGGCCTACATGATTTGGGGGATTTGTTCCCTTTACACCAGCCTATAGCTGATATCCTAGCTTCCCCTGTATCAAGAGTTAGAGGACCAGTAACCCAGAAGAGAGATGACATATACTCTCCATAGGAGAGGTTATGTTTTCAGAAATCTTTATTAAGAGTGAATTTCAGGGGCGCCTGGGTGGCTCGGTGGGTTAAGCCTCTGCCTTCGGCTCAGGTCATGATCTCGGGGTCATGGGATCGAGCCCCACATTGGGCTCCCTGCTCAGCTGGAAGCCTGCTTCCCCACACCCCTGCCTGCCTCCCTGCCTACTTGTGAGCTCTGTCTGTCAAATAAATAAATAAATAAATCTTTAAAAAAAGAGTGAATTACAGATCGTTTATTGGGATTGATGTGAAAGCAGAAGAAAGATGAAAACAGTGGATATTTGAGTGACACAGAAAATATTCTAAGCAGCACAAAAGCCAAAGGACAAGCCCGTAACTTCTAAGTAAAGCCTCATTACCGCCATGGTTTTTTCAATGTCAGGGAGTACCTTAGGCTTTCTACATACCTGTGTCGTGGACTCAAGCAGAATTGAAATCTCTGTTTGTTGGACACCCACCCAGTTACACAACATGCAGGAGGCTATGGATTTCCACATCGGTTATAGTATTACAGCATAATCCTTTTGGCAATCAGAAATAGGCAATTATCCTGACCAGCTTATGTTTCCAACTTAGCGACCTCTTTATCTTCAGCGCTTCAACCGAACTTAAACTGATAACTGAGTGTGAGAAGCTGTGAATACAATAGAGACAAACGGCTACAGGAAAATGTTCGAGCGGTGTAGGCACCATCTAAAGATTAGAAATCATAGTCAGAACTTCCTTTTTTAAAGAGTGTTATCTTTTTTACAAAAAGATTTTAAAATTTTATTTGAGAGCGACTGTGAGCAAGAGAGAGCATAAGCCAAGGAGGACGATGTAGGGCTTGATCCCAGGACCCTGAGATCATGACCTGAGCTGAAGGCAGAGACTTAACCCACCGAGCCACCCAGGCGCCCCTAAATAGTGTTATCTTAACCCAAGGAAACTGTCGAGAGAGAGAGAGAGAGAGATGGTTTCTAGATTGTAGGTGCTTCCCTCCGATGCTTTGTGGTGAGGATTAGCCCACACCCTGCCAGGGAACTGGAAGATCTCTGGATGTACCACTCCTTCCTGTGTATTTCCTCTTCTGTGATGTGGGCAGGGAGCATGTCCTGGCCGGCTTACACGCTCTTCTTAAGAAAAGGACAAGGTCAACTTGAAGGGGCTTGGAGAACGCAGAGGATATCTGCTAAAGATGCTGAGAATAGTGAACCAGGTTAATCATGTGCCCCTGGACCTCAGCCAGCAGCTGATTTGCCACATGACTTAGGAATATGGGTTTCCTTTCATTAGTTGACTCTTAACCCTCAAATAGTATCAAAAAGAGTAATGTCTTCAGTTTGGTATAATTGTGAAAAAAGGGATTGTTTCAAGAAGATAAACTTCTAAGTATTCCCAATTACTTTTATAAATGTGAATGAATCAAGTACAGTGCAAATTTGTCTTTACCCTGGTCTATCATTCTACATATTTTAAACCTTCTTTCAAGAATAGTAGATTGGATATTTGAAGGTGTTTAAAAAACACCTAAGATTTGTTGATTTAATATTAATTATTGACATAATTTGTTATGATAGGTTGATTTGGATGCTAGTCTCCTTGATGAAAGGCAACCATAATACTTAGGAGCAACAAAAGTAAATTTGTTTTGTGTTACCCAAATGCCAATGGAAGTATCATTTTACATAATGAATATATGACAATTTGAGGGTTAGTAATGAACAATATTATTTATTTTACTGAGTAAAAATGACTTTAAAAGGAACATATTAAATAATTTTATTTAAATGAATATGTATTAAGAATGTATATTAATGTGTGTGTAGTCAATATACATGCAGATTTATTGATTACTTTAATAAATATTCTCTAACAGTTCACTATATGCAAAGGCACTGAGGATACTGTGGAGAATAAAACAGGCAGTATTTATGTTCAGATCCTAGTTGTGAATGAGAAAGGGGATGATAATTATGCTAAGCAAAACAAGTCAATCAGAGAAAGACAGTTATCGTATGATCTCACTCATATGTGGAATTTAAGAAACACAACAAAGGATCATAGGGAAAAATAAAACCAGATGACATTAGAGAAGGAGACAAACTATAAGAGACTCAATTATAGGAAGCAAACTGAGGATTGCTGGAGGGGAGAGGGTGAGGGGATGAGGGGAGGGGGTGATGGGCCTTGAGGTGGGCACACAGTGTAATGATTACTGGGTGTTATATATGACTGATGAATCACTGAGCTCTACCTCTGAAATTAATAATATACTATATGTTAATTGAATACAAATTTTAAAAAAGAGAATAAACAAGTAAAAAATTGAATAAGATGATTTCAGAAGTAAAAGTGCCAAGAAGGACATAAAATAGGATGATCTGAAAGAGAGTTGTGCTGATGTGAACTGGGTGGCCAGGGAAGACATCTCATTTTGGGATTGCCCTATGGGAATTGAAATCAAAATATAAGAAAGTGCTAGCTACACAGAAATCTTGGGATACAGCATTTCAGGCAGAGAGAGAGAACAAATGCTCTCAAATGGGAGTGAGTGTAGTGTGAAAGAAGGCTTACGGGAACAGAGAAAAGGAGGAGAAAGGTATCAGATGGGGTTGAAGGTAGAGTGGGATCTTGTAGGTCATGGTGGGACTTGGGTTTTGTACTACTTGCAATGGTTAACCACTGTAAGGGTCGAAGCATGGCGGTGACAAGATCCCGTTCATGCTTGAGAAAGATCACTCCTGCTGGTGCACAGGAAGTGGAAGGTGCAGGAACGGAAGCAGAGACATGATGTAGGAGGCTCCTGGAACCACGGGGGAGACTGAATGGTGGAGGTAGAGGGAAGCGAAAACATTCGCTGACACTGTGCACAGTCAGGTGGTGAGGGGTCAGGGGCTGAACTGTGTCTTCCCCAATTTCCTGTGTTGAAGTTCTAACGCACATACCTCAGAATGTGACTGTGGTTGGAAATCAGGTCTTTAAAGAGATGTTTAAGTTCAAATGAGGTCTTAGGGTAGACCCAATCCGATAGGACTGGTGTCCTTATAAGGAGAGGGAATGTGAACACAGCCACACGCAGAGGAAGGACCATGTGAAGACACAGGGAGGAAAAAGTTGTCATCAACAAGAAAACAACGCTGCTGACACCTGCATATTGTGCCTATAGGCTCCAGAATTGTGAGAAAATGCATTTCTTTTGTTTAAGTCACTCAGGCTTGGTATCCTGTTATGGCATTTCTAGCAAACTAATGCATGAGGCAAAGAAAGAAATCAAGGGTTATGCCTGCGGTGTCCAGCTTGAAAAGCTGCATATTGAGAAGTCTCACTACCAGGATGAGGAAAAGTTCAGAGAAGGTACTGAGAGTCTCTTACCGATTCCCAGTCACTTCTGGAAGCCAATGCAAAGACTGACTTTATGGGGCTAGTAGCATTTATCAATGCCAGCAAATTGGACTTTCTAATCATTTTGTATACACACAAGAAAAACTTACAAGACACTTGCTATCAAAAAGGGGCATTGCACTGAATTGTGCTGAGGACCACTGACCTCTAGCATCTTGAGCCAGGAAGCTGCTTGGCCCAAACTCTGATTCTTAAAGTCCTTGCATTTATACTTTGGGTGTTGTCTCCAAACAAGATTACAGGTGCAGGCCCAGATTCACAATGACGGAAATAGAAGAATTTATCTATCCCAAAACCTTGAACTTGTAGCTGTATCTTTAGGATAAAGATAAATATATTATGAATTTTTATTTTTATAATAAAACTTACAGTAATTATCTTGTGATGACCCATGTCAAAGGATTGTATGAGGATTGATTATGCTTTCATACTTCATTAAACTCTAAAATGATAGCAGGTACTAGCAATTTCTAAAAATCTTTGGTAACTGAGAGTACAGAGGCTGGATGTGTATGAGTGTTTCTGTTTATTGAAAGCAAAGTTAGATTTTTCAGTTTTCTGTTACATTCCGGACTGTGACTGCCTGAACACCGGAACCATTTCTAACTCGGCTTTTCTGTCCTAGCTTCTAGAATGGTGGCTCGGCCAGAGTAGGCTGTCAGTTAGTGATTGGGGAACGGATCTAAGATGATGGCAAAGAGACCTAATTAATATTTAATATTATTAATATTTTCTAGGGCTGGGCCCTGTGTTAGGTGATAAACACTTTAACCAGTCTTCACAGAATTTATTATTTAATATTAATATTTCATATTTCATATTAATGAAACATTGTCAGTCTTGTTCTTGCAGTTGTTGCTGACAATAACAGCTACCTGCTACTTGAGTTTATTTTAATGGGGTGTCACATCTCTGATTATACTGTCTTCCGATTACTGCATGGTAATGCACAGGCCTGCAGAATCGGATTTTTTGAAGACAAATAAAAGAACAGCTAAAAATGAACAACCGTTTATCACTCCGAGGTGTAAGCAGCCTGAAAAGGAGTAAATTTAAATATAAACTTGTTAATGTCTGTTCTTACCTCCCAGGCTGTAAATTCTGTGAAGACAAGTTACGTGTTGATCACCTAAGACAAGGCCCAGCCCACAAAATACTTCATAAATGTGTGTTGCATGAATGACTTAGAAAAAGTTACTATCATATTTTTTGAAGTACAAACCTTTGTTGGTCACCAGAGGCTTCTTTCTTTCCTTGACAGGCCACAATAGTAATAAAATGGTCACTTGGAAGGCAGAATGCCATATCTTCAAAATGTGGGGGACTCAGGGGACACTTAATTCCTTGTTAGAAGCACTTGTGATACCTCCAGTATTTTGTTATTAAGCACAATAGAATAGGAAAAATTAATTGAAAATAAATTATGTATTTTAAAAATACTCAAGGAAAAGATCCTGACCAAAGGACTTTATATATTTTTTATTCAAATAGACAAAGATTGATTTTATAGATAAAAATGTTTATAGTACACATAGTTTTTTTTATTTAATTTCTTTTCAGCGTAACAGTATTCATTGTTTTTGCACCACACCCAGTGCTCCATGTACTACCTGCCCTCCCTAATGCCCACCACCTGGGGTGGGAGAGCCTCCTGCTATCTTAAAGCCAGAAGATTTAGTAGAAAACTATCTGCTCTCAAGACAATTGGTTGAAAGGGGAACATCTAATGCTGGCCTTTCACACGTGGGTTATTTTGTCACTCCAAGTGAAAGTCTTGCAAAACTATGTACTACTACTAGGTAGTACTACTTGCAAAACTATGTGTACTACTACTAGGTAGTGGTAGTACTAGGTAGTACTAGGTAATAGTACATAGTTTTGCAAGACTTTCACTTGGAGTGACAAAATAACCCACGTGTGAAAGGCCAGCATTAGATGTTCCCCTTTCAACCAATTGTCTTGAGAGCAGATAGTTTTCTACTAAATCTTCTGGCTTTAAGATAGCAGGAGGCTCTCCCATTCATGTTGTATGTCTGCTCCAGCCCTCTCGTGGCCTCTGCCACCAACGTAAGCTCTTGTGAGCGGGCTTTGCTACCCCACTTTAATCCCTGTCATTTGGCTTTAGGAATCCCTCCCTTCCCTAGGTCTGACTTCTGCTCCCCTCTCCAGCCCCAGCCCAGGGGAGATTTGACCACTGTATTAATCATGTCTCTTTATTCAGTATTTTTGATGCTTTGTCATCTTGGAGTCCCACTAGCTGTTGTGGGACTGCCCTTCCCAGGGCTAGCTAATCTGTACAGAGAGTAAAAAACTCACCTGGCCCAAGGAATGTGGCTTTCATAAGCACAGCCACCAACCCAGAGCTCACGCCCCCATCCCTCCTCTGCTGGCTCTCACACTCCAGGTACCAGACAACTAGGCATGACCCCATATACCCCAGAACCCGCTGAAATTATCCAAACCAGTCGGTCCTAAACCTGCTTACACTGCCTCACCTGTTCCTTCTCACAGAACCTCCCCGCTAAAAGAAAAACCAAAAACCAAAACCAAAGACAAAAACAAACAAGCCACAACCAACAAAGGCTCTTGCCCATGTTTTCTCTTCCCTCGGTCTCCTGTCTGACTCTGGGGCTCCTTGTGGAGTGGGCATGCCTCCTGCTTTTGGGATCTGTGAGTAGTAACAACCCGTCTTTTCGATGACAATCATGTCCTGCTCTGTTGGCCTCACCACACCTGAATAATAATAAAAGCTACAGTTAAAAGGAGCCACCCATAGCAAAACAGTCTCTTACCACCTTACACTTAATGCTTTGTGTCTGGAACATTTGATTGAGGCTAAATAATGCCTGTTTTCAACAAGAATAGCTGGTATTTATTGGCTGCTTATGAGGTGTCAGATATCATTCCAAGCACTGCGGAAACAGCTATGGACAGTGTTTCTGCTCTCACAGAGCTTACTTCTAGAGAGGGGAGAGATCACTCACAAACACATGGCGACTATGTCAGATGCCATGGGGGAAAATGCAGGACAGGAGGTGGAGAGCACCAAAGGATTGTATTTTTGTATAGAATTGACATTTGAGTGGTGCCTGGAATGAACGTTGGGGTTGGATCTCATGTAACATTGAGCTTGGCTGGGTAATTGCATGTAGGGGAATATGCTCACTTTTTTTTTTAAGATTTTATTTATTTATTTGTCAGAGAGATAGAGAGAGAGTGTACAAGTAGGGGGAGCGGGCAGGCAGAGGCAGAAGCAGGATCCCCACTGAGCAAGGAGCCCAATGTGGGACTTCATTTCCAGGACCCTGGGATCATGACCTGAGCCAAAAGCAGACACAGAACCGACAGAGCCACCCAAGCATCCCAATATGCTCACTTCTTGAAAGACCATTTGGGGTAGATCCAAGAGTCCTTTAAAGTGAATAATACTCCTCCAGTCATTCCTACTGAAGGAGAAAGCAAAAGAAAGAACAAAAGGGAAGAAGGAAGACAAAGAAGTTAGAGAAGGAGAAAGGGAGAAAGAAGAATAATAACTAGAAAGAAGAGGAAGATAGAGAGGAAGGGGGAAGGAACAGAGGAGCGAGAAGATAGGTAGATGTATACATTGACGTTTGGCTTAGTATTTGGCTGAGAACAACTGCTTGGTTTCAGGAGCTTGAATCCTCTAGAAGGGCTGAAGAGCCAAAAGCCTGCTTCAAATCCCTGCTTCCCATCCTGGAAAATAGTGCAGTCAACAACCCTGCGATCAAGCAGGTCAGCTTTGAGTCTAATCAATGTAGCTGTGTCTGCTGCAAAAAGACAATTAATTTTTATTTGGTTATAGTTTTACTATCTGACTATGCACTTTAAAGCTCTGGTAGGAATTTTGAGATGACATTGGGAGTGAAAAGATCTTTTGCGCTTCATGTATTTAAATTGTATGTCCATTAAGGTATAAATATATATTTAATTCTGTCAGTAAAATACATAAAAACAAATGATTGAAAATCATTACTGTTATGTGTAGAAGTAATCTAAACATTGGCAGTAGTTCGATTTAGCGTGGAAATAGGTTGTGAATAGGATCATTAAGAGGATGTGTTGGCTACATTAGTTTAGGAAGAATATCATATCCTTTATGAGTCAATTAGTGTTTACAAAAACTTAAATAATCCCATGAGGAAAAATAACAGATACTGGATTGTACCAGTTTTATCTGCAGTTTATTTTCCGTGCTAGTATGGATAACATCAAGCAAAATAAACTCCATGGGCTGTCATTAATTTTTCATTATCTGATTCCATCTAGCACATGGAGTTCAAGAAAAGTTCTGTTTCACTTGGGAACATTCGAGAATGTTTCACATCTTTGAGAAGCTCTTAAAAGCAGAATGTTACTTTGTTATCTTAAACTAGGGAAAGGGAAATATTTAAAATTGTGTACAACAACATCCATGATAGATCTTAGCTCCAAAGAAAAAAATGTAAAGAGAATTAAAAAAAGGAGAAGGAAAAGTATAAAGAAAAATGTGGTCTTTTGTTCCTTTCCCATATATGTATCTTGCTGCTCCCCTGGCTTCAGAAGTGAAGGTATCATAAGAAATAGGTGATGTAACCACGTATGGAGCCCTCTGGTGACTGATGACGAGGACAGATTATTTTATCGGCTCTATAATGGCAAACTTTAAAAATGTTAAACTATCAGAAGTTTAACTATACAATGTGATAATACTTTCAAAAATCAAACTTTAGATTTATGCTGTTACCCCAGAAGTTCACGTAATAAAGACAACATTCATTTTGGTAATGCTTTTGGTTCAATGTTTATTTATTTATTTTTTTGAGACATTTCATTCATCTAAAAGGCATATTTCGTGTTCTACTCATTGTTGTTGACATTATTTTGCTGCTACATGTTGGAAAGCTTGTGTCCTTACTCAGAATATAGCTGTGATAAGTTCACTCTTGTTAACTTTTGTTATTGACCAGGCCTCCGTGCTCTGCTCTTTGGCCAGGGAGCAGGACGCATTGCCTGGAGGATTTGGTGTAGAACAAAAATAGAATTAATAGCCAAATTCTCTACTTGATCCTCCTGAAAATGGTTTGCAGGGGTGGCCGGAGAATGTCCATAACTATTCCGCTGAATCTGCTCTTTGTTTAGATTTAAAGTATGTATTTCAAACCTTGATTGAAGGAGAAAAGAAATCATGTCAAAATGTTTCAGGACACGATTGAGATTAGAGGTGAAGAGCGTAATTGTGATGATGAGATGTTAGTGGAATCTAAAGAGAAATGATTAGTGCTGTCTTTAGATCATCACATTATTCTTAAAGAGGCTTATTTAAAAGCCTGGAAATAGTACAGTTTTACTGACTAATGTCTGTTGAGTAAGAAAGTAGGAGGTGTGAAACTCTTAATTTTTAAATAGAAAAGTTCCTTCCTGGGTGTTGTCAGTAACTTTCAGAAGCCCAGGACGAATGATAATTAGATCAATGCAAAGAAAACAGCAATGAACAGAGCAGGGAGAATGAGGAGCCTGGCCCAACGGCAGAGCAAGCAAGGCTTCTGAGGGGTCCCAGCAGCCCTCGTCTTCATGGGCTTCAGGGTCCTGTCCCACTGGGTCAGGATGGCATGTCTGGCTCCTGGCCACTTGCCTGGGCCCACCAGCCTAAACTGGTATGGGCTGCAAGGACCAAAGAACACCTCCACAGCCAGTTTGGGATCTGTGAGGAACAGCCATGGGATGTTGGGCTTTGCCCCAATGAAGGAGGCAAGTTCATCCATATATGTAATATAATCCGTCTGTACCGTCTCGCTGGTGCCAAACCTAGAGGTGGGAAGAGGAAACAGCACTGTGGATTCTGAAGCTCTGTGTACAAGTCTTATAGGAACAAGAACAGGGAAAATGCCTCACATCTTTTTATCAGAGGGAATCGACGTCAGTCCCTTGTGTTGGTAAGGGGACCTCGCTTATTTATTCTGCACTTTGTAGCTTTTTCCTAGAGAGCTGCATGCCGATCTCATTTGGACATTCCCCAATACCATGCAGCAGCTGAGAAAGGCCTTTCCATCCCCGTTCACCAGTGGAAATGATCTCTTACTCATGAAGCTCGTTCATGGCCGCTGAGCTAGTTAGTGACAGAGGTAGGACTAGAGCTCTGTTCTCCTGACTGTTCTCATTTGCTGAGTCCTGTTCCTTAGAGCCATCTGGTTGGCGGCAACCTCTGTATCTTAGATGATTTATAGGCTAGAAAATAGAAGTCCACGTTCGTGCACTCCCAGACTCCTCTGATTTCTAATCCTTTCTAGGTCTTCTTTCTGTCATATATTGCCGGAGCCATGGAGGGATGAAACGGGACTGAGTACTGTATCAGGGGCAAAGGGAATCCTCCATAAATACTTGCTGAATGGATGAATTTGCTCATAGCTGTCACCTTAAAGACCTCACTCTGCACCATTTAAGACTAAGAGAGTTACAAGGATTCATGGATTCTGATTTTTCTATGGAAACCCTAGACCATTTTCACAATAGGTGCTCTTACCATTTGAGCTTTTTCCCTCTTTTTTTTATCAATATCATTCATCATGTCTGTTACAGAAGGCAAAGTACAAGTTCCTAAAAAAAGGTGGGGGAGAGAGGGGAAAGGCATGATAATAGTTAAGTAAGTCTGGCATAAGATCAGCCTGCTATTTTTCCTTTTTAATAAGGATTTATGTATCACATTAGTATTTCCATTTTTTTGGGTCATTGCCTAGCAAAGTAAAATCTTGAGCAAATCAACAGGTGGTCATTTTGAGAGAAACATGTAAGTCATTTCCAGTTTTCTCAAAACTGAAATGTGACATAATTAAAAACCCAGAACCAAATAGCTCTGTATCTTTGTATCTTTGCTCTTAAACCAGTTAGCAAATGTTTAAAATCAGTTTTAAGGATTATGTTCTAGTCTCTCAGCTGTATTTTAAAAATGTATCTAATAGTTTATAGCCAAAGTTATATCAGCATCTCTACTTTAGATTTAAGGAAAAAAACTTCATAGGAAATTACCCCACTTTGTCAGAAAAAGGAATTTCCAACACGTAAGTTGTAGAATCTATTCAAGTCCCAACTGTCTCTCTGAAGAGCCAACAGTTTCTGGGTAAGACTGAAGACAGGAGCTGTGCACAGGACACAGAGGACTCGGGGGAGCCCCAAGACACTGGATCCAGGTTGGGACTGCCCGGATGGCAGGCTTATTCTGAAATAGGTTTACAGACTTCTCTGAAACCCATGCCAAAACATGGTTTTGTGCCCAGAGGTACTTGAAATTTAGGGTGGTTTCTTTGGCAATTTGGGGATCACCTTGAAGAAGACTAGAAATCCCAGATCTGGTGGCTCAGGACCTACAATGATTGCCTAACTCCCCGATCCTGCAATCCTTTCAGGCTGGGTCACTTGAACAGCCTTTGTAGGTAGGCATGGCCTTGTTCTAAACCCTGGACCTTGTCCTGTCCCTGGGCAGAAAGAGAGATCAAGAAGGAAGTGATTGTGCTCACTAGCCCACCAGCTCCTGCCATGGGGTTGCCTGTAACTGGCTCCTCTGTTCTGGCATTTAGATTCCCCCAAATTGAATTACTTGCCTTATCACTCATTTCCTCTAAGGCTGAGTCTTTGTTTTGAATATCAATTCTCTATTGATTTGTCTCTGCCTTGTCTCCTTTCTTCAGAGCCCAAGTTACAATGATCCCAGCAGAGTAGGTGTCTGACCCTCTACTGTCAGTCTCCCCGAGCCTGAACCTTAAGTTCACTTTTTTCTGAGTGGAGTTTCATGCCACCACCTTCCTGCCTGTTGCTGCATGGTGCAACACATCTCTGACTTGGAGGAAAGAGTGAAGGAGATTTAAAGGGATCACTGGTACATGCTACTGGCATGATGTTGGTGACAGCCTGCTGATGAAACGGGTCTCATACACAAAGTGGCAGTTTCCAACTTCCTGTATGAAAGAACATTTAAATCCCAGCAAGTCAGGTAGGACCGGAAGCCTTACATATGATTTCAAAGGGAGTAGACCTGCTAAGCTCCCTTTTCCAGAAGTTTTATACCTCTAGGACCAAACAAACTTTGCACATTAAACTTTGACACCTTTTTTTGTTCTACAACCATGGACTTTTGTCTTCTGATCCGAATCTTCACGTAACTGCATTCAAACCTTAATATGAATTAAGGTTTGAGCCTTGTAACTTCTGTTGGAGAATGCTGCCCATTTTCCTTTCCTGACCTCAATCGAGTTTGCTGTTGTTGTTATTATTTTCTTTTTTTAAAATTTAATTTAATTTAAAATTTTTTCAGTGTTCCAAAATTCATTGTTTATGCACTACACTCAGTGCTCCATGCAATCCGTGCCTTCCTTAATACCCACCACCAGGCTCACCCAACCCCCCAACCCCTTCCCCTCCAAAACCCTCAGTTTGTTTCTCAGAGTCCACAGTCTGTCTTAGTTCGTCTCCCCCTCCAATTTCCCCCAACTTCCTTCTCCTCTCCAGCTCCCAGTGTCCTCCATATTATTCCTTATGCTCCACAAGTAAGTGAAGCCATATGATGATTGACTCTCTCTACTTGACTTATTTCACTATTTTCTTAATGCAGGCTCTCAGTATTCCTCTACCTTAGAGACTGATGATCTGCTACTCCTAGTACTTTCTGCTTCTAATGACCCACTGCTTGTTCTTATCTGACACATGACAGGGAAGAAGATAGAGCAGAAACGACACTGACTTTCCAGCAACATGATTTTTTCCATGACGTGAGTATCTGAAGTTGGCTGGATATTGGCTTGGAAACATCTCTTATTAACCTTTCAAACAAGGTCATTCTATTGAGTTTTGAAATAATAATTTTATAGAATTGTCATACATTTAAGACCAGAAGCTCTAGTGTTCTCAAGGTTAATAAGAGTTTACAGCTCTAAGGAGTTATGAATCACAAAATACTTCTTGAATAATATCTTGTACTATTGCATATGATAATCCAATGTGATATATTTTTAAAGCTTATAGAAGATAGTACCAAAAGTATAGAATTATACATTCAAAACTCGATAGGACCTAGGATTTTCCCGTTGTTATTGTTTTCACAAAGACTCAAAGGCATTCTTATTGGCATCCCTCTTCCCCATCAATGACCTTCTTAGTCTACTTACCTTTTATTACTTGTACTGCCCAGCGGGCTTGCAGGTCAGCCGTGGGAATGGCAGCCCCAAGGGACTGGACAAAACCAATCACTGCCATGGTTGGCTTCTCCAGTTTAGGAGGGAAAATGCCTTTAAACAAGGTGACCTCATTGTTTTTGCTCTTAATGATGGACTCATCAAGGAAGGGGTAGTCATAACTATAGCCTGTTGCAAAAATGACACAATCGATGGCCTCAAACACCGTGCCATCCTCAAAAATGGCTGAAGTCTCAGTGAATTCTCTCACATTCGGCTTAATGGACACCGTGCCGCACAAAATGCAAGCTGGGAGTTGATCATTAAACACAGGTTCTTTCCTCAGGGTTCTGTATGGAAAATAGAGACAACTACTAGAACAGTAATATTTCCTCTTTGTTTTATTGCTCCATAATAATTAATAATCAACTAATAAAGAAGAAGAAAACTACCCAAGCTTTTTCCCTTGTGCCATGGAGTCTCACCAACATGGTTGAAAAACAAAACTGAAGTAAGGCAGTATTGTGAAGTAAGACAAGCTGTCTTTTCCTGATCCTTTCTCTACTTCCCATGATCTTTCTCTCCTCTTCCGCAGACCTCCAAATCCCAGAATCAGCACCCACACCCTCTCCCCTGTTAAAGATGTATCAGGAAAGATCCTAAATCTGGGTACTTAGCTGGGCATTTGGATTTTTTTTTCTTCAATTCTTATTAACTGTGAACCTCATTTGAGTTAAAGTTTCTCAGTTTCTCTTGCCTCATCTTTCTCATCTGGAATGACAGTAACTGTCACGCCCATCTAGGGTCATTGGGAAACCAAAATAATACAAAGATCTTGCCTGAGCTCTCTGGTGGGGTGGGGTATGAGCCCCTTCCAGACAAAGACACAAGTCAGATGAGGGAGGGAGTGCCAGGGATTTATACAGGCCAGAAGAAGGAGGGGGCCAATTCAAATCTTTGGTTGGTGGAAGTCTGAAGAGGAGAACTTTTTATTATTTTTTGTCCAGCATTATCTAGTGAGTGTCAATAAATCTGAACTTTGGGGTGAAAGTGAGTAACACTGAAGAAAAAGGCTTTGGTCTTTTTTTGGGAGCTGTGAGAGAGAGCCACAGTGATAGTCTACCTGGAACAAAACTGAGTCAAACAATGGGATGGGTTGGAATCCTGGCTGGAAAAAGGCTGGATTCAGCTGTGAGAACTACCTGCCATTTATCTTAAACCCACTGCCATCAGGCTTTTGGCCCCACTGCCACCTGGAAATGGCTCTTGTTAAGGCCACCAGGATGGTCAAACTGCCAGATCGTATGATCCACTGTCACTTCTCATTTTATGCAGCTTACCCGCGGTGTTTCCCAGTTGATGGTTTCCTCCTTCTTGAAACACTGTCTTCATTTTGCTTCCAGGTCATCACTCCTCTCTCTCGTGATTCCTTTCCTACTGATCTGTTATTCTGTCTTAGTGTCTCCTGCTGAATTCTCCTTCTCTTCCTGACCTCTGTATGAGGACATACCCCAGGACTTCACCCCTCAGACCTTTCTTCTTCTTCACCTACATTCATTCTTTAAGAGATGTCATCTGGTTTCATTGCTTAAAGTACTATCTCCACTCTGGTGAATCCACATTTTTAAACTACGGTTTCACTCTCCCTTCTGTCTTGTGTATCCCTAGGCTGCTCAACATTCTTTTATAATGATGACTAATTGGCATTCCAACTTTGTTATATTTAAGACTAAATTTCACTCCCCCTGTGGTCTTCCACATCCCAATAACTGTCAACTCCATCCTGGCATCCTCGCTCAGATCAAAAGTTTGGAAGGTACCTCTGACTTCTTTCTTGTTCTCACATTTGTTATCCAATCTAACAGGAAGTCCTACTTGGGTTTACCTGTAAGATATATCCCAAATCTGACCACTGCTGAGCATTTGCTGCTAACAGTCCTAGTCCATGTCACCAACTTCTGTCATCTGGTTTTTGACAATAGTCTGGTACCTAGTCTTTTCACTTCCTTCCTTGACCTACCCCTATCCACTGAGTGATGACCACTGTGCCAGAGTGATTTCTTCGGATTAGCTTGGATCTTGTCCCTGCCTTGCTCAGGTGCCTTCTCTGGCTTCCCATTGCATTCACGGTAGAAGCCAGAGTCCTTACGATGCTTACCAGGCCCAATGCCATCTGGCCATTTTGATGTCTTCTTGTTTCATCTCCTGCTGCTCTCGCCATCCCCTTTTCCTCAGGGAGAGAAGGCCATTGAACATTCCAGTCAGGGCCCTGAAGAGGCAGCGAACGAACCGTTTCCTCTGGGATACTTTCCCCCGGACCTCCTGGCTCATTCCTTCAGCTCCTTCAGGAATTTGCCTAAAAGTCTCCTCCTCAGGAAGGCCTTCTCTGGGGATGCTAGCAGCACCCCCCCCCCATTACATCTGCCTGTTTTGTCTTTCTCCAGAGAACACATCAGCATGTGATCTCCTGCCACTTGTCTCTTGTCTGTTTCCCACTACTAGAAGGTAAGTTCACGAAGACAAGGATTTTCTGTGTTTTGTTCACAGCTGTATTCACAGGGCTTAACATAGGACCTGACGCATAATAATGCTTAAATATTTGTTGAGTAAGTTAACTTTGATGTAAACAGTTTATAATTTAGATTTTTCAGCACACATCAAAGTAATTTCTCATGTGTCTGAGGGATATGTCTAGGGGGATATTATAGGAACGAGTGAGGAGGAAGCTGAAGATGTAGGTGTTTTTGCACATTTCAGTTAAGGGCAGGTGATGAGAGCGTGGCAGGAAAAGTCCTGCTTTGCTGAACTGAACTTTGCCATGAAGTGAGAGGCAGTAAACAAGGTGGTTAAGGGTGAGGGGCTCTGGAGTCAGCAGATCCGGGTTCATCTTGAATATTGCTTCTGCCTTCTGGCTATGGAACTTTGGTAAATTCATTCAGTACATTGAACCTCAGTTTTCTCATCTTTAAAATGGGGATTATAATAGAGACCTCCTCATAGCTGTTCTGAGGATAAGATGATGCATGTCAGAGCCTTGCGGAGTCACACTAAGTGCTTAAAACATAGCTATTACTATATTTGCTTAAGGGACTAATTCCTGACTCATTATATAACTTTCCAGCTGTGCAAATCTGGTAACAAAGATTGTGAAACAAGAAATCATGCTGCATTTTTGAAGTTCTTCATCCCCTGAAATGTGAGACGTGGTTATTTCACTAATATTATTTTGATCGGTTTGGAGTTTCAACACACAGTGTGAGGTGTTGACACTGAAATAAAAGTTGGCAGGCATGTCATATTTAACTCTGTGTTACCCGTTTTAAGGCATCAAGCCGTAGTTCTCATGCTTGAATCTCGCATTCATCTGCTTCATGTACCACCAGTCAGAGATGGCTGTCGGCAGGTTGTTCTTGAGAAAGGTTTCAAACCGGGTGATAAACACCATGTCCCATGGATAGCCATCATCCCAGACCCGGCTCATCACCCAGGAGCCACTTCTGGAACTGATGATGACCTTAAAAAAAAAAACCCAGCAATTTAACCATTAAGTAGTGACCATTTGTAGTGGGTACTGTGGTATGTCCCTCAGATCTGACTTTTGGAATGGAGTTATCACAGCAGCTACTGGGAGTGTTGCCAGCAGGCCGCCCTCAGCCATTAGCCCTCTTTGAGAGTTGCTTTGGTTGAAAAGGGAAGGCCTTCCCCAAAATCTTGTTGTCTTTCCAGATTCCCTGTCTTCAGGGTCTGTTTGATGCAGGGATATGAAAGTCCAATCTCTCACTCCAGCTTGGGACAATTCAGAAGGACAGCTTTGGACTAGGGTAGAGGGAAACTTCCTTCTCTTGCCTCAGAGGTACTCATCCCAAAAGCATTCCCAAATAAACTTGCTATACTCCAGTCCACATCTTTGGACCAAGCACCCTGTCATTTTCTCTGCTGGAGGTGACAAATAACTGAATTTTCACCGCATTTCCTCTAGTGCATATGTGATGATCATTATTTACAATCAAGCAATTATGACCCCTCCCAGAATGGTGTTTTGACTTAAAATCGCTTTCCCCATCCCAAGAGAATGCAAGAAATTTGGCATCAGAGTACTATAGGCTCAAATCCTGGCTCTGCTACTTACTAATTATGTGGTTTGGGGAAAATTCCTTGAATTTCTCTAATATTCGGTTCCCTTATTGGTAAAATGGAGATAAGAAGTACCCGCCAGTACCTGCCTGAAATTTAACGCAGTGCGCTTACCATGCGGTAGGACCACCACTGCCTGATGGGGAGAATGTGTTCCTTTCCTCCCCTTCTGTTATGATAATCCCTAACGGTATAGATTTTCAGGCATTTTTAAAAAAGAACTTTTGTATATAATGCTATTTCAAAGTATGTATGTATGTATGTATTATGTTTAGCTGTAAAGGAAGCCAAAAAGGAGAGCCTGGGGAATCAAACTGCTGAGAGCCCCTGAAATTGGCCTTTCTTTCTGCTAATTTATCATACATACAGCTAATGGATGAGTCTCTTAAAACTATGGCCTCATGATATCTTTCCTTAGCTCAAGAAGCTGAGGTGATTTACCATCATTTATAAAGAAATTCAAATTCTTTAGCCAGTCATTCAATCCCTTAAAAAATACGACATACCCTGACTCCAGTCTTCCTTTCCTCTCTCAGTTCCTGTAGCTACTCTGTTCCTTGGAATCAGGTCTGACGTTCAGTCCCCTAACACTTCATTAATTTCCCCCGTGACTTTCAAGAAGACAATGGACATGTCTAGTCCTCAGTTATCTTTTCTGTAAAATGGGCAAAATAAAACCCAGTGTACTTTCTTTCCACAATCGAAGGAGTGCATTTACACCCGGGCACTGGAGTACCGTATGCTTTACACAAACTGTTGCTGTTAACCATCTCCATTCCAGCACGATGAACCACGACAGTGAAATATGCTGTTGTCACTCCTGTCTCCACACTGTCGTGAATGCCTTTCTCCCTTTTAAGAACATTTTTTGGCACCTCTTCAACCATATGACTCATGGATATCCTTCAAGGACTGGTTCAGGTCTACCCCTCTGTGAGTCCTGCAGTTCTGGAATCAGCCTCACATTCCTGGAGCATCACCTGTGTGTCCCTTGTTCCAGGGGCGGCTCTTGTACTTTTGTTAGACTTTCTGCTTAACTCTTGAGGTTATGTTTCATTGACGTCCTACCAGTGTATTATTTTCCCAAGTAGATTTTAAGTTCCTTGATGAGAGGGGCATAGAGTTGACTTCTTTGTGTCTCTACACTGTCTCCGACAGTGCTTTGAACAGTAGACAGGAATAGGTTGTTATGCCATTTGTCCCGTCCTGATCTCCTGGCTTCACCAATGGTATTACTGTCATTTAAAATGGACCTGTGTCGCGGATGCCCAGTGTGATGTCAGTAGGCATAGCCTCTAGAGATAGAATTCCTATCTGTGGGCTTCTGAGCAGTCAGTCCTAAAGAATCTTCCCACCAGTAGATGCCGTTTTTCAAGCTCCTTCTCTTCCCACTGTGAGCCCTGTTTCACCTCTTCTCCGTTTCCTCTACAACCTCTCCTTATACCATTCTTTTCCAGACCCGATGTATTGCCACAAAGGGGTCTTGTCTCCATTTCTTGAGACTCTAAGCTTCTTCCTGCTTCAATGCCTTCTTCCTAGAGTCCTCTTCTGACACTGAACCCTTTTCTCAACTTTTTGCTCTGAGCTTAAATGCCATCAGCTGGAAAGGGCCTTCCCACTTCCTTGTCTGAGGCCCTTATCCATGCTTTTCCTTGTTTTTTACTAGCACTTTTCACAATTTTCACATTATTTGTGCACTTACTTATTTAATATCCATATGTTATACTAGACTCTGAGTTCAGGGCGGGCATCATGTCTGTTTTATTCTCTGCTTTCTCTCCAGCACTCAAGCCAGCGTGGCACACAGTAGGCTCTCAGCAAGTAAGTATGGGACGACCGTATGCGTGAATGAATGAATGTAGAACTCTCTCTTGCTGACATCATATGTAAATGCTTTGACTTCTTACCAAGCTCAAAACGTAGGTTCGATTTTTATCTGCTTTATTTATCTTTGTGAGAAAACTGATAGTCAGAGGGATTGATATATTAAACTCAAGAGTGTCAGAGTCATAATCTTAACCCTAAATCCACACTAGTGTCAGAGGAATTGCTGACATGTTAGATACCAAATGTCCTGAAGAAGATTGTTGAATGACATCACTCCTTGGTGATATTCTGCCTTTGTCACACCAAACCATTTAAAACCTCACTTGGGGTGCCTGGGTGGCTCAGTCAGCTGGCCTCTTGATTTTGGCTCAGGTCATGATCTCAGGGTTGTGGGATCCAGCCCCATGTGGGGCTCCCTGCTCAGCAGGAATTCTGCTTGACATTCTCTACCTCTCCCTCTGCTTCTATCCCTGCTTGCACACACATTCCCTCTCAACTAGATAAATGAATCTAAACAAAAACTAAAAACCAAACCAAAACCTCACCTGTTATGGAGGGAACCTGAGATGTACGAAACACTGCTTAGTCTTCCAGTCAAGAACCCTGCACACCACTACCCGCTCCCTAGTTTCTTATCGCACCTTTCAAATGGTAGCTGTCTCGGTTCCTTCAACGATAGCTCCTGACTACCTGAGAAACGGTACCTGTTCAGCTGTGTGACTGAGTTCCGTGGCAATATCACAGCCTGAATTCCCCAGGCCCATCACCAGGATTCGCTTCCCCTTGAATATTTCCGGGTCCTTATAATCCCGGCTGTGGAAGCATTTGCCTTTAAAAAGTTTTAGTCCTGAGTGAAAAGTGGGAAACATAGGAATCATCTGGTTTCCATTTAAAAACAAAAACAAACACTGCTGTAAAGGACTTGTGGGTGAATGCAGTTAAAAGAATCTGGAACTTTGGGGCGCCTGGGTGGCTCAGTGGGTTAAGCCGCTGCCTTCGGCTCAGGTCATGATCTCAGGGTCCTGGGATCGAGTCCCACATCGGGCTCCCTGCTCAGCAGGGAGCCTGCTTCCCTCTCTCTCTCTCTCTGCCTGCCTCTCCGTCTACTTATGATCTCTCTCTGTCAAATAAATAAATAAAAAATCTTTAAAAAAAAAAGAATCTGGAACTTTAACAGTCTGGGTATATCCCATGTAATAATAGACACATGCTTTCATTCAATCTGTACTTTTTGAATATATAAAAAAATACTGTGAAGATATTCCCTTATGCCAGATGTGTAGATGGCAGACTAAATTTCAGCCTTACCTGGAAAGGACTCTTTTGGTAGGTTGGGGTACACATGATGTCCAGAACAAATCAACACAGCATCAAAGACGGTTGATTCTTTTTTACCATCTCTTTCAGTGGTAACATCCCATTGACCAGTGACTGAGAAATCAGGACGTTTATTTATACCAGATACAAGGGTCTGAAAGAAATACAGAAAGATTGCCTTTTCCATGCTAGCAGGTACATTTGACACCAACTTGACGGAATAGTATGGAAAAAGTCCTCAACAGTGGCTTAGGAAAAATCATCCATTAGTAACATACATATTATGGGGGAACCTGGGTGGTTCAGTCGGTTAAGCCCGTTCCTTCAGCTCAGGTCAGAATCCTGGAGTCGCAGGATTGAACCCCGCCTCGGGCTCCCTGCTCAGCCAGGAGTCTGCTTCTCCCTCTGCCCCTTACCCTGCTCATGCTCTCTCTCTCTCTCCTTCTCTAGCTCTCTCTCTCAAATAAGTCATAACTGAAACATTAAAAAAATCTAAAAAATACATATTATGAATTCAAAATTAAAAAATCAAAACATCAAATGGTAAAGATATATTTTTCGTGATTTTATTTGATTATTTGAGAGAGAGAGAACATGAGAGGGGTGTGGTACAGAGAGAAGCAGGCTCCCTGCTGAGTGGGGAGCTGGCCGTGGGGCTAAATCCCAGGACCTTGGGATCATGACCTGAGCTGAAGGCAGATGCTTAACTGACTGAGCCACCTACGTGCCCAGGTAAATATATATTTTTATCCTCACATATCTTCTTGGGCATAGCCAGTATGTTTTGTACTGAGTGACCCCCCTCTTTGAGATAGGACTGTGAATTCAATCATAGTTTACACGTGGCATGTACCACATGTACTAAGTAATCTGGAGGCCAGTCATTTTTGTAGTAACAGTTACTACTTCCCAACATATCTCTTTAGCTATTTTATTTTTTAATATTATTGTCTTAAATGAAAGATATCATTTATTCAGAGAATGAGTTCTCAAATTAGTGTGCATGAGAATTACCAGGAAAGCTTATTAAAGTACAGATTCCTAGGCCACAGTCCCAGATGTTCTGAACTAGTAGATCTGGCATAGGATATGAAAATTTGAATTTCTAATGCACTCCCAGGAGATGTTGATGCTATTTGGCCCATATACTAAGTTTCACTGGATTGGATTATCAATAAATATTTATTCACAGCTTCACTGGATTGGATTATCAATAAATATTTATTCACAGCTGAACAGCTACCTGTTGCTTGCTATGTTCTTTCATCAAAAATATTTTTTCAGCTCTTCTGATTGTATTGGGAAGAGGACCTCTGTTTGGTACAAGTCATTCTTATAAATTTTATTATGTATAGCATTTCATACTGATTAAACACAGTGTGAAATGTACACAGTACACAGATTTGTATAATGCCTGTTACTTATGAAATATAATAAAATAAGCACTTACGAATCCATAAAATCTTACATATCATTTATTTAGAATAAGTCTGGGATTATGCATTTATTTATATTATGGTAAATGGTTCCTTTTTGAATTATAGTTTCTGGTTTTTTGCTGCTGGCTTACAGAAATGCAATTGATTTTTATATCTTGATCTTGTATACTACCAATTTCCCTGACATTTTTATGTTAATTATTATTATTACTATTATTTTAAATTTTTAAAATTTTTTCAGTGTTCCGAGGTTCATTATTTATGCACCACACCCAGTGCTCCATGCAATATGTGCCTTCCTTAATCCCCACCACCAGGCTCACCCTACCCCCCACCCCTTCCTCTCCAAAACTCTCAGTTAGTTTCTCAGAGACCACATTCTCTCATGGTTTGTCTCCTTCTCCGATTCCCCCACCACCTTCACTTTTCCTTTCCTTCTACTAATGTCTTCCATGTTTCCTTGTGCTCCAGAAGTAAGTGAGACCATATGATAATTGACTCTCTCTGCTTGACTTATTTCACTCCAGTCCCATCCATGTTGATAAAAAAATTTGGTATTCATCCTTTCTAATGGAGGCGTAATACTCCATAGTATTTATGGACCACATCTTCTTTATCCATTCATCTGCTGAAGACTTTGAGATCCAGTACCTTAAGCTTACAGCACATCTCAGTTTTTGGCTAGTGGCTACCACACTGAGCAGTACAGATTTAAGATAATATGTTTCTATGGATCAAGAAAATTCCCTTCAGATCTTAGTCTGGTGAGAGTTTACTTTCTTTTTTCTTTTCTTTGTTTTTCTTTTAGGTAACTTATTTCATTAATTTCTTTCATTAAATGTTAAATGGATGTTAAATTTTATTTAATGCCTTTTCAGAAGTTAGTAAATGTATTGTTTTCTTCCTTTGACAGGGTTTTGGACTAAATTACATATTTATATTTCATGATATTGAAATATTCTGTATTCTTAGCCCAAACTCAACTCAATGAAGATGGTTCATTTTTTAAAATATTTTGTTGGATTCATTTTTGAAGTTTTTTCCACTGACATTCATGAGGGAACTATGTCTGAATTTTCTTATTTCCTATTGTTTTTGTTTGCTTTTGATGTCAAGGTTATAATGTCATAGAATAAGTTTGTAAGTCATACTTTGTGTTTTAGTATCTGGGGTCTATAAAATATTGAAATAATTTGTTTGTTGCAAATTTGGAATTAACCTGTGGAATCTTCTTAATGGGAAAAATTTTAGTTTCTGATTCAAAAGAACTCTAAGTTACTAAAGGACTATTCAGACTTTCTACTTCTTTCTGTGTGAGTTTTGGCAAGTTTTAAAAAAAAAGATTTTAAATGTAACCAATTTAAACCTTATTTGGCAAACAATTTTATAGTATTCCTGTTACATTTTTTATTTCACTCACATCAGTTTTATCCATTTTTTTCATTTCTAGTATTATTTATTTGCATCTTTGTTCCTCAAACTGTCAGCTTTTTATCTATTTTTTCCTTTTGAAAGGATGAACTCTCTAATCTTCTTAATATGTTTTTCTATTTCATTAATTTCTTTTTATTATCTTGTTCATTCTATGTTCTTTTGGGTTTTTCCACTTTTATTTTCCTAAATTTCTTTATCTTGTTTTTGAAACATTCTTATTTTCTAAACAAGTATTTAAGCTTATAATCTTCATGAAAGTTTTGGTCTTTAAGCTTACCACAAGTACTGATATGTAGAATTTATCATTCAGATATAAATATAAAGATTTCCATTGCAGTTTCTTCTTTGAGCCATAAATTGTTCAGAAAAAAAGAGTTTTGAATTTATAAATTCATGGCTATTTTACATTTATTTATTTCTTGTTGATTTCTAAGTTAATGACATTTTTGTCTAAGAACTGAATATGTGGTATTTTATAAATTTCCAGTGTATTCTCTGAATCTAGGGTCAGGGAGACCACAATATTAAAAATGTTGACAATAAGGAAGAAATACTGAAAGGAACAAATAAGAATCTGCTAATAAATATAGAATTCCTTACAGTTATGCCTCAAACTAATCTTTTGATAGCATCTTACCTTAAATTGTATGTATCTCAGGAGCTTCTTTTCTTTGGAAAATGCAGTGATATATTCCTGGAGCTTGCTGTTGTGCATAAAGTTGGGGAAGTCATCAGGATATGGGAAGTCTGGGAAACACATCATCTCTTTGGAAGAGTTGGTAAAGACAGACTGGTAAATGCTAGCTCTGCCTTCCTCTGCATGGTCCTGTAAATGTATCGTTTCAAATGGGAGAGAGTTTGTAAATGGGTAAACTTACCATGGTCAGTACTAGTTCCAAATAATTACCACTCACTTTTTACCCATAAGTTAATTCAGTAAGATGAGGAATAAATTAACTTTACTTAACAATTTGATGCTAACCAAAGAAACTTAGAATATGGAAGAATATATCTTTCTTAACATTTTTTCTAAGGGAAACAAATTTTGAATTTCATTAAGCCTTTTTAGGAATATATAACTGGAATTGAAGAAAAAAATCTAATATATGTTATGATAGGGATTAACTTTGAGGACATTATGCTAAGTGAAATGAGCCAGTCACAAAAGGATAAATACTGTGTAACTCCACTTATATGAGAAATCCAGAGTTACCAAATTCACAGAGACAGAAAGAGTGGTGGTTGCCTGGGTCTAGGAAGAAGGGGAGTTATTGTCTAATTGGCAGAGTTTTAGTTTGGGAGAACTGTAAAATGTTCTGAACATGGATGATGGTATGATTGTACAACAATGTGCATAAGCTTAATGCCACAGAACTATACACTTTAAAGCAGTTAAATGATAAATATTTATTGTGGTATGCTCACCACAGTAAAAAAAAATCTTCTTTAGCATATCATGAGGTAGTTCTGGTGAATTAGAACATCGTATTTTCTTACATACCTAGGGCAGAGAGGACGTAAGGTACGTTTATAATAGTATTTTTCAAATGTTTTTGGCCACAATCTATAGTTAGTAATATATTTTATATTGCAACACAGTACATGCACACACACACACACACAACAGAAGTTTTATGAATAAATCATATCTAACTATTTAAGTTGCATTCTAACATGTTCTATCCTTCCCATTTAAAAATGCAGATTGATTCATTAATTTATTTCATAACACTCTAATAGGTCATAATTTCTAGTTTGAAAACAATGATTTAAAAGAAATGGAAGGGTGAAGTTTGGAGGACTGGGTGAGAGAAAGGGGAATAGAGGCAGGAAAGAGTGTGGTGGTAAATCACCTAGGTCTTAAAGTTTATTCTTTGGGCTGAAATGTCAAGATTAACATACCTCATATAAAACACTGAGGGCAGAGGAGCTTCTGTTTTCACATTTGAGATTTTGGTAAGATCTCACTTATCTTAAAGACTTGCCCTAGACCAACCTTGGTAGGGGCAAGTTGCCACAGAGGAGTCAAGGAGCAGTGATTAGGAAGAGGCAGGATCTTAGCTTAGCTCTCTTGAACATATTCAGCTTGAGCAAAACAAGGAGCTCCCACTTGCTCCCAATAGAAATGCAGAAATTTTTAAAAAAATTTTTATTTTTTATTAATGTATAATGTTTTATTAGCTCCATAGAGACATAGTAATTATCTGCGACTTGTAGAAGGTAGTCTACCAGAGAGTTGCCATGGAGGGGGCTAAGTGGCATTTTAGGAGAGAGCTGTAGAGTGGCCTACTTGGTTCAGGAACTTAATGGGAAAACTGGACCTTGGGGAGGTTCATCAGGTATGCTCATAGGAGGCAAGTAGGGTTTAATCAGCAAGGTCATTTGGCCTCTAAGCTAAGATAGGACAGTCTCCAAGTTCATCAACTATCGTCTTCAATTTAAGATTCCTAAAGGATAAGCGTGAGTGATAACAAATACAACAGGGACACCAAGAGACTAGAGGGGCCAGAGAACAGTCCCAGAATCTGTGTTTGAATTTGAGAAACTTTGGGCTTTCCTCCACCCCAAGGTCACATAAGTCCTTTTTCTCCATAAGTTCAGATACAATCTTGGAAAAATTCAGTAGTTGAGAGGATCTGATAGACTGACTTTTGATCCAAAAGATATTTGGAGATTAAGCTGTGCCAATTGGGGGTACTTCTTTTGTCTTGGAATGCTTTTATGCTCCTCCCTATGTAATTTTGGATATTTATCTGTTATCCTATTTGTGCTAGACACAAAAGAGTGACCTGAGCATTAGTAGTCTAGTATGTATTTATGGATAAAAAGCATTGCAAAAGATCAAGAACTCACAAGGAGATCATGAGAGAAGATGAGAGAAGAATTCCCCCGTTTGTAGCCCGCAAGGAAACAGAGACCTTAGCCTGACATCAGCAAGACACTGAGTTTAGCCACCACCCTGTGTGAACTTGGAAGCCCGTTCTTCTCTATAGTGCCTGTAATAAGAGCCCAGCCCAGCCACGCCTTGGTTTTGGCCTTGTGAGGCCTTAAAGTGAGGAAGCTGAACTACGGTGTGTTTCTTGACCTACATAACTGAGAGTAATAAATGGGTGTTGTTATGAGTTGGTCGGTTTGCAGTCATTTGTTGTGCAGACTTAGAAAACTAATACAAGGGCAGAGGTGAGGTACTGGAGCAAGCCACAGTTGGGGAAAATTATGTAATATTACATCAAGGGAGGTAAAGTAAGAATGATGCTAATCTTTGAGACAGGTTTGAGGTAGTTTTGCAGCTGGCTGCTTCAGGATATCAGTCTTGATTGATCTGTAGATTTTCTTAGGCCCCCAAAGTCCTGATTGCTGAGGACGGAGCTGCAGCATAATTAAATACATCATTTGTGACTTGCTCTTTTTCTTTTTTTTAAATAATGATGGACATCTTACTGTTCCTACTCAGTGTTACACAGTGCATCTCAGAGCCCGTATTTATAGACCGATCCTTCTAAGTTGATCAGTTAGAAAATTCATTAGGGAATGGCTATAGAGTCAGTAATTGCATTTTTAAATATAATTTTTTTGGAGGGAGGGGTCAACAAAGAACGAAACCCTGCTTGTTTATGGAAGTAGATTTATTCTTTTCTGGTTACAAAAGTAACCCAAGCTTCTGATTAAACATGACCAATTATATAGACATATTTAACTCTTCTTTCACCCGAGTCTTTATTAAAACGACTACAGGGGCGCCTGGATGGCTTAGTGGGTTGAGCCTCTCCCTTCGGCTCAGGTCATGATCTCAGGGTCCTGGGATAGAGCCCCGAATTGGGCTCTCTGCTTGGCGGGGAGCCTGCTTTCTCCTCTCTCTCTCTGCCTGCCTGTCTGCCTGCTTGTGATCTCTCTCTGTCAAATAAATAAATAAATAAAATATTAAAAAAAAAAAAAAAGAAAAACGACTGCAAAACTATCAGAGGTATGAAGCCACAAGGGAAATAAAAAAAGAAAGAAAAGTAAGAACAAACAAAAACCAGCAAGAACATCTTAGAAGATTGAACATAGATGAATGACGACTGGTGTTAACAGACCAAAGAAAGCCCAAAGCTAAGCCTCGGTCTAATCAAATGAGAATCCAGATCCAATAATGATATCGTAAGAGATACAAGGTCTAAAGTCTTTTTTTTTCACATGTATAACTTCTCAGAGAACTACTGGAGGATGTAGTCTGAATGTAATCTTCTAAAAGGAGAGACTAAACGAAATAATAGGACAATAAGACTTCCAAAAAAGAGGGTTATCCCCTCAGCAGGGATGCAGCCCTTACTAGAGAAGGAAGACAAGCAGAAGAACTATCTTTAAGAGACAATTAAAAGAAGAATTAAGCAGATGGACCAGCCAGTGTGTTTAAACCTATTGAGAAAAGAACAATAATTCGAGGGAGAGCTTGGGGGATGAATTACAGATAGTATTTGTAAGGTTAAACAAAGCATACAAGGCAATTATTAACTCCAGTGCAAATAAAAGTTGTTCAAGGAAGAAAATGTAATCAGAATCCACTGAGTGGCTCCGCAGTGACCAGTATTTACACGATTCTAACAATATAAACATGAAGGCTTGTTTAAACAAAAAAGATTATAAAACCATATGAAGAAGGAGATGAAAGATTCTGTAAATGGCTGTGACTTTTGTTCCATGTAATTTAAGGGATTGCTGTTTGTACATAACACATTCTATAGGTGCAGAGAAGGTTACAAGAAATGAGGAAATGGGCCAAAAATGAAAATAATGAAACAGAGAATTTAAATTTAGCTTAAAAGAGGCCAGTTATTACTTTGAGTAAGGGGAAATACAGTGTTGCATGATTTTCTGATTTTTCAAAAGAAGACAGATCTCTAGATTTTTATGTAAAATATCATGATTTTAAAATGTTAAATTAAAATCTAAAAAACTGCATAGATAAAATAGAATAGATTAGCTGCAGTACAAAAAGAGCCAGTTTGCTAACTCTAAAATATATAAAAACAATTTATTTTTGTCTAGTAATTTTGTGATTTGTGGGTTTTGGTGAGGTTAGAAAGCTTGGTAGAGATTACACATTAAGAAACAAATTGATCCTAAGAGTGGAATAAAATCAGGGGAGGTGAACAAAGGGTTGTTCGCCCAGAAAAAAGAGGATTATTCATGAAACTTTGGGCCCAAATCTAGACAATTTATTGATGTATTGTTCGGGGATCTCCTGGGAAAGGAAGACATTTCCCTTTGACCCATGGCCTAGTCCTAAAGTACGTTATTTTCTCAGTGATCAAAACAGGTGAGGGAAATACATCATTCCGGCTTTAGATCAGTGTTGCAAATGAGAACTAGAAGGGCACAGGGAGGTGCGACAGGAAACAGCCATAGTGGGGAATGATCTGCACCTCTATTTTTTCACACTTAAGAAATTTTTGGATACCTCTCAAAGGGGGAAAAATGCTGAGAGAATGTAAAGTGTTGATTTTAGAAACCAAAGGTAATGAAAATTCAAAATTAACAGGATTTTATAATATAATCCCATAATGTAAATTCTAGGCATACAGCGTAGGCTCCTAGTGGTGTTTGAGAAACACGGGAAGTTACGCCACCACCCGCAGTGTGGACCCTCTCACAGAGGTAATTAGGAAACTCTGAGTAACCAGTGTATTAGTTTCCTGGGTACTATAATAAGTTAACACAAACTTAATGGCTTAAAACAGCAGGAATCTATTTTTTGAGAATTCCAGAGGCCAGTAGTCAGAAATCAGTATCACTGGGCTGAAATCAAGGTGTTTCACTGGGCTGTGTTCATTCCAGAGAGTCTAGGGGAAAATTCATTCCTTGTCCCTTCCAGCTTCTGGTGGATGCCAGCTTCCTTGGCCTTTTCAATGCCCAGAGGCTACTTGCTAATGGCCTCTTCCTCCTTCTTGGAAAAGGAGGTCAGAACAGTCAGAGCATAGCATCTTCAAATCTCTCTTTCTGCCGAAGTGATCACATTATCTTTGCCCTTCTATCTCTGGATGTCAAGTCACCCTCTGCTTCCCTCTTAAAAGCATATATGCTATGGCATTTTTAGCACACCATATAATATAGAATGAGTTCACCATCTCAAGATTCTTAACTTAATCATATCTTAGTTTTCCTTATTAGGAACATTTGTGAGTTCCAGGGAATAGGGCCTGGTACCTATGGGGGGGACCATTGTTCAATTGTTCAGCCTACCACAGGCCATTGGCCCCTAAAGATTCACATCTATTCCACATGCAAAATACGTTTACCTCATCTCTTCACTCCCAAATCTCAATCCATTGCAGTATCAGATCAAGTCCTGAATCTCATCTATACATCATCAGCTCAAAAGTCCCAAGTTGTATCACCTCAATTATCCAAATCAGGTATGAATGAGACTCCGGGTATGATCTGTCTGGGCCAAAATGCCTCTCTGTCTGTGGACCTGTGAACTAGCACACAAATTCTCCTCTACTAAAGGACAGCAACGAGACAGGTGTTGGGTGCCAGTTATAGATGCTCCCGTGCCCAAAGGGAGAGAATGGAAGGAAGAAAGCAGTTAACAGTCCCAATTCTGAAATCTAGTAGGGTAAACATTATTAGGTTCCAAGGCTTAGGAATAATCTTCTGTGTCTCAAGGCTCCAGCCTCTGGGTCTCAATTCCACCTTTTGGGGTAGTCTATCTATTTTTTTTTTTTTTAAGAGAAGCATATGTTTGCAGCTGAGGACATATCAACCTATGATGCCAGGTTCAAATGTCAAAGCCTTTCCTGAGCAGCAGGATATGGAGCTGTTCTCAAGAGCTGTATGGGCAACGCCTACCGTCAACAACGTTCTGCAAAGTGAGTCTGAATATGGGGACTGGCCAAGATTCCTGTGGAAATCCTGCTAGTTCGATAGGCCACTTACTAGAATGGCATCTGGCAGTTTACTGAGGAGTTAAACATTCAGGCTGGAGGGACAGACCAGCTTGAATCAGGATCTTGTCTTTGTCACTTACCAGCCGTTTACTACTTTTTTTCTATTTAAGGCTTCAGAGTCATTTAACAAAACTCATACCTGCCTTATAGGATTGTTGTAAAGATTTAATTCAATGGGAAAAAGTGTTAGGCATACAGGAAGTATTCACAGGAATAGCCCCAAGAATCAACAGAGAGCTAATCTGAAGCCCTGTCAGCACGTTTCAGCAGCACAGTCAGGCTCTACAAAGTCATGCAGGATGTTGAGCAGTTTCAAGAATTCTTTACAGTCCAAGAATTCTTTACAGCCATATTCTCATGTCTTTATAATATTTAAAGAGTTGTCACGGATACTGTCTCCTTAAATTCAATCTTAATGAGGTATAAAATATAATACTAATTTTGCACGTGAGGAGGAAATGGTAGCCTCAAAAGGGTTATTGCTCCTCCTAAATTTGCATATATGAATGGTCTATCAGAAGAAGAAGAAGAAGAAGACATATGGGGTAGGCTTAGCCATGCAGTGTTCCTCAGGTGGGACACAATGAGGGAGCTGGGGCACAGGCAAGCCCCTCACACCTGCCGACGTGGTTGTCAGGCAACAGAGGAAGTGATTTAATGGTTGCATGAAGGCCTGTCTGCTGACAGAGTCATTATTATGAATGCACAGAGACTAAAGGACATTGAAGAACTTCAAATCAGTGTATCTTCTTCTTGATTCCTCCTTTGGCAGTATCATTAATTATATGGTTTTTGTAAGGCCAAACAGCACCTGAAACTTTAAAACCTGTGGTCTGAATCATTAAGTGGACCTTTGGTTAACCTCAACAAAAGAATGAGAACAACTCTGTTTTTTAAAAGAGTAACTCATATAGTTACATTACATAAACTTAACCAATATTTGCCCTTGGACTTCATTCCCAGAAGTGGCTCAATTATTAATGGTTTACCAGCAGTGAATTCCATACACAGAACCTACAAAGCTAGCTCACTATCTCATTTACTTCTGAAGTGAGCCAGCAACTTACTTTCCAACCTGCTCCTGTGTTTCGTAGATTCTAACCTAAGAGGGGCTACAACCGCGTGGAATCTGGTTTGGAGGCCTGTGCTTCTGCAATGTGTTCTCACATACATCACACCTCACTTCCTGGTCTGCTGCACTGATGTCCCAGTCACCGAGAATTTCCACAGGCCCCCAACATCTTCACTCCTCTCAAAGCAGGTGGGCTCCAGCCCCTCTTCCAGACAGCTTCTGATGGAGGCTAAGCCACTGACACCAGCTCCGATGATGGCCACTCTCTTCCCCATGGCTGCCTGTGCAAAGGCCCAAAGAACATCACTAGCAACAGTATTGCCGAAAACAACTTCTTCTTCTTTCTTTTTTTTTGTATCATTCTTTGGCTTACTTAGAAACTTTGGGGGCACCTGGGTGGCTCAGTTGGTTAAGTGTCCCCCTCATGATTTTGGTTAAGGTCATGATCTCATGGGTTGTGGGATTGAGCTCTGTGCTCAGCAGGGAGCCTGTTTGAGATTCTCTCTCTCTCTCCCTCTTCCTTTGACCCTCCCCCCACTGGAGCTCTCCCTCTCTCTCTCAAATAAATAAATAAATCTTTAAAAACCTTTATTTTTGCACTGAGAATGCAATATTAAAAAATAGATCAGAACTCTTTTTACTAATCTAACTACATTTTGCTTTTTCTCTCTGATTTCTAAAGAGAATTTTTTTTTTTTCCAAAAAAAGCAGCACTTTGTTTCTGGTCAACGCCTCCAAATTAAGAGACGGACGGTCCGGCATGTGTATTTATCTTTTTTTGCTTTTGGCCTTTTATCACTGATTTTCTATCAGAGAGAGTGAGTATGAGCAAGAAAAAGAGGTTCACAATTAAAACAGACATGCACACAATACCCACAAACACGTGTGTGTATATGAATGAAGAAAAATGTGCATGTGTACGTGCACACACGCATTTATTTCTTCTTTCTCTTTGACAAAAGACTCAATGTGGAACAAGATCAGGGCACGTCTGCATTTCAGTATAGCGGGAATCACCCCATTCCTCCCTACAATGTTCTTCATCTTCTCAATTAAAAAGAAAAGTCCGGTCTTTTATCTAAAAACTTCTTTCCACTGGCTGCCACTTCCACCTCCATTCTCTTTTTTAAAAATTAGATTTCCTAAACTTTTCCTGTTTCTGACACTATCTTTAGGCCTTACTATTACTTCTATTTTTTTTTCTTTTTAGGCAAAACCACATAAATATGTAGTGAAATAGACTTGGATGACAAGAACTTGTCCCTTACTTCTCAGGGAAAAAAAGATCTACCTGAATTATATGTCATTCTCATTCTGATCACATTTGGTATGAGCTATAGATTCCCTTCCCATCCCCCCTCTTCCCTCTCAACCCATTATAATATCATCCTTTTCCCCTTTTCTACCTTTTTCTTTATCTTCCCTTCTGTATGTTTAAGTTCTGTCCAAGTCGTTTGGGCAGTTGGGAAGGAAAATGTTTTCCCTGGGCCAGCACTCCATGGAAATTATTGGAAAATGGGAGGAACTGCTTTTACCTGTTTTTTATATATTTTTTTATTTTGGGGGAGGAACTGCTTTTAAAGGGGAACTCACTTCCTGGTCTTCTCATAAGTGAGCCCACACTGCCAGCTCCCCAGATAGGCTGGGCTCTGCCCAGTCTCCTGGCTACCCAGTGCCTGCTTTCCCTTTAGTCAAGGTAAACATGATCACTGCTTATACTTCTAGGTACTTGGCCTGGAGTCAGGCTGTTTTTCCCAGATGACTTGGTTTTCTGCTGTGTTATTTTGAAGTTAACCCTGTTTTACTCAGTCCTAATTTTTTGAGGGGTATCTCCTAGTAGCACCCCTAAATCTATAGAAATCTAGCTGCTTAATTGACATATACTAGCAGTAAAAATGGGTTCTCTATGTTCCTTCCTCCTCTTCTCTCTTTTGACTTTTGTGGTCAAAGGCCTGGATTTCGCAAATTGGTATTTCTTTGATTTTGGGGGACAGTGTACCATCATGGAAAAGATCAAGTTTAATAAATTGACCCATTAGTACCAGGTAAAATTATGTTGGTGATAAGATTAATCAAGCTGCACCTAACTCCCACTCCTGAAATACAGTGAAATTTCTAAAAATTCATTCCCTATCAAGCACATTTTTATATCACTTAAATTATGACATCTCAATTATTCTACCCATTAATCCCTTCATTAAGCAGGTGATACTTAGGATAAACTGACATATATTTCATTTTGGAGGAACTGTTTTTTTATGTCTTTTGGAGATGTTAGTGCTCATCTGTGAAGTAAATACAGTTAAGTGAACAGACAAGACGTCAGATCTCCATGCTGTCAGATGTTTGGCCTTGAGCAAGTCATTTAACCTCTCCAATTCTTGGTTCCTTCGTTAATGAAATAGGGATACTACACTACAACATTTGTCTTGCTCAGTTATTACAAGGATTATGGGATATTTGTATGTATACGAATATGTATATGTATATTTATACACACACACACAAGGCATGTAGAGGTAGCAATTCCCAAATGGTAAATGTGGGGTTAGGTAAGATTTTTTTCTTTTAATCCCAGGGATCACTAAATTTTCTAGGGCTTCAATTCAGACCACATGATTTTTTAAAATTATTTTTATTAACATATAATGCATTATTTGCCCCAGGGGAACAGCTCTGTGACTCATCACAGATGACCTGATTTTATATCCTCTCATTTTTCATAGAGCTCTTTTTCGTTTTAATGCTAATCCAGAGGAGCTCTTCCTCAGGAACATTCCTGTAGCCTTGTTCATCTAAGGAGAGGCAGGACACACACACCCAATTCCACCTTAGCCTCTACTGTTGTTTTCTCCTTCTAGCAGGTGAAAAAGCCACTCTTCCCCTCTCTGACATTTTCAGGAGTATATTCCATCTGTGGTGGACACATATACTGACCCTGATCCCTCTCCTGGGCATCTCAGCCTCGCTTTTACTTGCTGTCACTTTCTGCAAAGCTCTTTTTCGTCTTCAGAATCTCAACTGCCCAGGCTTGACTGGGGCAGTGGCCACTCCCTGCTTCATTGGCCCCTCTTTTCCAAACCTTCTATGCAGTTTCCTTCCTGTTCTCTGGATGGGGTCCAGTTAGAGAGGACATTTGGTAGAGCAGTTTAGCTCAGACAGTATGGCACTTCTTGGAGGTGGATCAGGTGTGTCCCAAGCTCACTCTTAATTCCTGGCCACACTCCCCATGCACGACCTTTGATGGCTGTTCTAGACCCTGCAGCTTGGGGTTTCCAGGCGGAAGTTTGAGTGTGAGTGCTTCAGGGAACAGGCCTGTCAACTGAGACTTCCTGAAGGAATATTTGAGTCAAACACTGAGACTGGACCAACTCCGTGTCTTTTCTCTATTCCTTGACCTGTTCAGTCCCCATCACTGCATGGAAGAGGCACCTGTACAAGCTTGTAAAGAGATCATCATCTTGCACGTGCCCAGGGAGATTTGGTGCCTGGTGCCTCCTTTCCTCTCGGAGGAGGCTAGAATTGGGGGTTGACAGACTTCTTCTGCGAGGGCCAGACAGCAGATATTTCAGGTTTCACTCTGCCGCTGTGGCCGAAAACCCTTGTAGACAGTATGTGAGTTGATGGGTGAGGATGTGTTCTAATGAGACTTATTGATAGACCCTGAAATTTGAATTTCATATACTTCTCATATGTTATGAAATATTCATCTTCTTTTGATTTTTTTCCCCAAGCCATTTGAAACCGTGAAAACCATTCTTGGCTTGCAAGTCATGCAGAAACAAACGGGACCAGATTTGGCCACCGGTTCACCCCTGCTTTGGAGAAATGACATTGTTTGGAGTGTTGGGGGCTCCTGTGACGTGATCTTAATGAAAAGCTTATTGGCTGTTAGTTCATCTGCTTAATCGTCCGCTCACACACCGAAATCGTAAGCCCCAGAGAGGTGCAACAGTGACAAAGAATGATGTAAAATCAAAGTTTAAAAGTCCAACAGAATAGAGACAAATCCAAGTCAAACAAGTCCTTAACTAGCAGGTCCCACAGCTGGATAAACTTCCTTCAAGAAAGCTTCATAAGAGATCATTGATTTCCGACACTGGGTATTTTTATTTAAACACGTGTGAATGAGGGGCGCCTGGGGGGCTCAGTCGGTTAAGCACCTGCTTTTGGCTCAGGTCATGACCTTGGGGTCCTGGAACTGAGCCCTGTGTCAGGCTCCCTGCTCAGCGGAGAGTCTGCTTCTCACTTTGCTCCTCCCTCCACTTGTGCTAGCTCCGTGGCTCTCAGATAAATATGTAAAATCTTTAAAAATGTGTGAATTGATAGAAGAGCAAAGGAAACTTTATGAGTCAGGGTGTTGCTGAAGAACACATGTAGACTTTTTTTGCTTAAATAGATGAATGTTTGACACTTTGTCTACTCAGAAAAGCATATCTCACAGAGGGTGAGTTATCTGAATCACCTTGAGGAGGAAACCAAGGTGACTCATGTCTCGCAGCTGGCCTAAAGGGGCTCGCTGTCCCAAGAGGTCAGAACTAAGGAAGAGTGCCCTACCTGATGTGTCAAGTAGTGAAGAGAATCAAGTCAGACTCTTTCAAAATAAAAAAGATGAATATAACAAAGCCAAGACAAGCTACCAAGCCAAAAGGCAGGAAGGGAGTCCCAACGGGAGGAAAATCAAGAATTTGGAGCTCGCTGTAAAGGAAACAGAAACAGAACACGAGCCAAGGGAGACGTTATTGGGAATTAATACTACTGAGTAAAAGGTCTACACATTGCTTTTATTGGTTAATTTGTGTGTGGAACTTAGTGTACTGTCCTGGTTAAACTATGCCAGCTGTAATACCAGTGTTGCAAGTGTCGTTAACCTTTGAACGATGCCGGGGTCAGCGGCTCTGACCCCTGTGCAGCTGAAGATCTTCGAGTAATTGTTAGCTTCCCGGCATAATATGACTCATATTATTCCTACATAGCTAAAGGCCTTTTTCCCCCTGAATAATATACAACAATATGTGAAATTATTCCAAACCCATAAATAAGGTTATGTCCTTCTGTGTGGCTGAAAAGTCAGGATAGATGTTGATATAAAACTGGGTCACTCAGGATCAAAGGAAATGATACTTGGGATCTGTTCATAATATAGTAATACCAGCTGCGAGTACTGGGGATGTCAGTAATAATATTACATTGATAATTAGAACACGTCAAACGTGGTGTTTGGTGTTGAGACACTGTTGGTGGTTTTAGATTGATAATGGTAGTAGCAAGACTGATTGCACTGAACGTGGACGAGGAACCTGCTAAATGTAAAGAAAAGAGAGTGAAATATACAGAAGCTGCCACGGGGACTAATTACTGGCTCAGGGCAGACATACTGTTGGTTCTGTGCCAGTACCTCTTTAATTATCGATGAGGCAAGTAGACCAAAGAATAATGGTAGAAGAAGCAAAAGTTGGTATTGTTTGTTTGAAGAAATGCTGTATCAGAGTCTGTGGTTATTCACGGTACTAATCAATTGCTGAAGCCCTCAATTCTAATGGATATTCCTGTGGGAAAAATTATTATGAACAAGGGAACAGTAACAATTATGTTAAAAATTTTATCATTTCTTTTTTAAAAAAAGATTTTACTTATTTATTTGAGTAAATTTTATCATTTCTTAACAAAGCTCCAGGTTGACCTAATTCAGCATGAGTAAGAAGAGTTAAGGAGGTTCCTCCCATTCTGGTTCAAGCACGGAACTGTAACCATGATGTGCCAGTGTCGTCATGGTTTGTTAATAGCAGGTGGTTTATGGAAACAGATGAAGTGGCTGAGTAAGAATTAGACTAAATCTAAAGACAGAGGTTGAATCCTGTTTTGACCAAGCCCTGTGGTGAATAACAGATTGAGCTGCGAATTCAAAAAAGGAGCTTTGGTTTTGTCACGCTTGCCCCATCTTTCTCCTCTAAACCTTGGAAAAGACCAAAGACAGTTGACTGGAGGATTTAGCTTAATTCAAGTGTTTGATTTGCATTTAGTTGATGTAAGATAGCCCACAATCTATATTTCAGGACCACAGAGCTTTAAAGGTGTTTCACCTACGTTAACCCAAATTCCTAGTCGGGAACTGAGGATTTTGGTGTTAGGGGAAGGACTGATGTTGATTCAGTGTTGAATGGACGTAAAAAAAATTACTTGGCTTATGTTTGCAAATTGTAATTTTATTTCTGTTATTTATTGACAGAAAGGGTAGTGAGGTAGAATAATAATTGTGTGTAGAACTATGGATTAAGTAGGGCTGGGGTAGTTTTAATGTTGGTATAATAATGCTGCTAGTTTTGGAAAATTATTCATTTCGGTAAAAAAAACAACAACAAACCAGTGAGTGTTAGGAGGCTTCCTAGGGATAATATAATCAGAAAAACCGTAGTAGTAATTATAGGTATTCTATTTCATGATTTCATGTGTATGGAAGTTTTGTGG